GTCGTCGTCGTCGTCGTCGTCGTCGTCACCAACCACCACAATATGCGGCGAAAAAACGTCGCACGGCCTCACCCGGCGTGCGTATCAACTAAGGTGGTTTAGCGTTGTTATTCTCGTCGTCGACATACATCCGACATACAGCATCCGTTGACAAAGTGCTAAAATCGCAGATCGAAAGACGTCTCTCTACGCAAACGTGCAACGGCGCATTTTTTTTTCTTCACTCGCTGTCGTTTGAAAGTCGCCCGTCGCGGGGGACTCGCTGCCGGTTGACAGTGTCACCCTAAAAATCAATAAGGGGTTCACTCTATCCTCCTCCTCCACCTCCTCCTCCTCCTGCTCCTCCTCGTTTTCCTCCTCCTCGTTTTTCTCCTCCTCCACGCGGCTCCTCTCCGCTCTTTCACTCGCTCTCGCTCTCTTGCTTCCTACCCCCATGTCCCAGGAACGTCGACAGCGGGGGTCGACCGGTCGTTCAAGTAACGGCTGGACATCACGTCATTCTGTCAAGCGATGATGCAATGCTAGAAGATTCGTTGTTCCCAAAATACCAAAATTTATACGAGATTGCAGTCGTGGAGATGACACTGTCTTACGAGAAAATATTTCTCCTCTCTCGCGAAAATATAAGGAATCGATAAATAACATCAATGCTTGTCGTAATAAATGGAATTTGGAATATTACATACACTGGCAAGTATTTTGTGGAAATAATTAGATCGCTCTATCTGTTTTAGGACTATTCTCAAAAAATTGTAAAATTATATAATTTTTCAAATAAAAACCATTTAGAATATCACTCGAAAAAATTCTTTGGACTACGCGTTCAATCTACTTGGCGAGTTTTTTGTCACGATGAAAAAAGATTCATAAAATTCTGATGGTGACGCACTCGAGTGCTTTCATGTTAAATTGCGGAAACTTAACGTTGCAGCTTCTCCTGAAAGATTTAGTCCACCCGCTCGAGCAAAATTATTGAAAAATATGCAGGAATTGCTATATACGTGAGAAAATATGTTCTTATTTCTACGAGTCACGCGTGTATACGCGCATACATACATTGTGAACATCACTACTCTTTTACGCTGTTATGGTTCCTCGCACCTTCCGCGACTCGCGAGCTGTTAGAATAGAATAGAAACACAGCGCTATGGAAGATTAGACCGACCTACTTCACTGGCACTGCCTGGGAAATTTGGAAGAATTACCGTGTGGAAGTTATGTCGTTAAGATGTAATTATATACATACGTTACCTCACGATCTTTATGATCATTCGTGACTGCAAGATGGATTTTCACTCTCAAATGAAAAATTACATTTATATAAATATATGAAAATTACGAGCACACAATTGAAAAATTTGTGTTAAATTTACACATTTCACGTGCCCCAAACGTGCCTTCACTCAAATCTGTGTGTTAATTTATCACAAGGTGTGACCACGTTAGAAAATAAACTTATTATGTAAAAATTAATATAAAGATATAATTCTGATATAATTCGGAAACAATACATTGTGAAAACATATAGATTTCTTCAGTTAACATTTATAATAGTTAATTTAACAGGAACATTTATCTTTTATTGATTTATTATCTTAGAATTTATGTTCCAAAATTTTATTATTTTTTTATGTTATTTAATCACTCATACATTGTATTATAACACAAAAAATCTTAAACATTAATTTAACATTAAATATTAACATAAAATAATATAATCGAATTATGTCAAATTAACATAATTAGATATATTCAAAATTCAATAAAAGTCTAACAAGGATCGTTTTTAACTTAAGTATAATATGTTTATGTACTAGAAGAAAATTCTTTAAATTCACAATCAAATTTAATTTATAACATTATTATTATTATTATTATTTCAGATTGATTGTCTGAAAGTAATCGGTGCGCAGTCATATCTGAAATAAATTTACTTAAAATAAATTAATACGTATAGAATTACTACTTCAACATCCAACTTTGAACATATTTGACTCTTCTTTTTATACTTCATTTATTGTTAGTCAAAAAAATTTCCGTTAGCTAGATTTAGAACAGTATGAGGAAAAATTTAATTAATTTATCGACTAATATAATTATGACTGAAAATATAGTTCTTGATTATAATAAGTGATTAAAAATAAATCTTAGATATTGATCAATTAAATTTCAATCACTAAAATTAATCGATTAAATAAATTTTTGTATGTAATTATTACTGAATCAATCGATTGATTGAGAATCATTAGCTGCAAGTAATTAAAACATTAATCGTTATTTATTAATTATTAATTTTTTAGTTTAGCATATATTGAACTTATAACGATTAATGTATGCAATCACTTTCCCAACAAAATAATTTATCGATCAATATCGATTTGTATATCTTTTCGGTATGATACGCATAATTTTTGAAATATCATTACAAATTAACAATTAACGATTAATTATTATTTTATAATCGACGATATTTGATTTATTGACGAAATTTATCGTGATTACACATATCATGAATTTTTAATCGATTAATTTAATCGACTAGTTGATCAGAAACTTAATCAATTGATTATATATCAAATTGTTTGACAACTTAACTCCATTAATTGATTACAAATCATGATGATGTATATTTTAAATTGTCAATCGATTATTTTAACAAAGTTAACAAAGAAATTAATCGATAATACCCAACACTTCACAGAATTCTGTTGCAAATACAATTTTTCTTTGAAACATTTTTCATATCTACCATAGTTTTCGAGAAATCTTAATGCATTACTTAAAATGGGACATCCTAGATCGCAACCTAATATTTACTAACAATAACTGAGATAATTACGATTTTATAAGAAACATATTGCTTCTTTACTACAAAAGTGATGGCATAATTTAAAAATTAAAAAATTTAAGTTTCTTAGAAAAGAGAAAGAACTATTTTCTTATACTTGACATAAAATTATTAACTAATCAAATAACAGCAAAAAGAATATATTTTTAACTTAATCGAATGTCATTTTCGTTATATTCGTTTCGTAACTCTTTTTCAAATTATGATGTTTTAACGATTATTTAAGAATTTAAGTTAATTCACTTTTGATGCGAGATAAGCTAACTCATTTACGATAATAATTTGAAAATCAAATTATTTTTTATTGTGTTATTTTTGAAGTAAAGGAGCAATATAGATATTGATGAAATCCACAAGAGTTGAATAAAAAATGATCGATCGACATCTTGTCTTCACGACAGTACGTATCAGCTTCCGTTTTATTGACCACTAATATCGCGTCTGATCTCGCTACAGATTGTTCAAGGCCGCGTTGGGAAATAGGAATACAGTACGAATGGAGTTTACTCCTCGTCAGGTCCACGTAGAGAGATGCGGCAGCATCTTGATACGTATCTGTCGACAAGGCGCCGCTGGTCGCCGGCCACCGGCCGTCGCGCGTGGAGGCGCGACTCGATAACCCTGTGATTCGGGGTCAGCACGATCGTCTTTTATATACGCCTCGGAGATGGAGGGAAGTCGCCTCCGACAGTCGATGCGTCAGCCGTCCCCTTGACTTCGACGATTATGTCGCGATAAAGAACAGTAGTCGGCGAGTGACACGTCGGCGACTACTATTGACATTGATAAACTTTCAGAAATCCCTGTCCGCTTATTTATTACGAGAATGATCTTTTGCGCAAGCAGATGACGTGGGAACAATCTAAATAAATTTGTATTTGGTTTAATGCGGCTTTCTCAATATATAACAAATTGCTTGCCGCGAAAGACTAAGCCTTCTTAAGTGTTTACTATAGTTTACTATATACTAGGTTTGTACCCAGTTTCGATAAACATTGTCGACCTGCGGTTTTAAACTACAACTTTGTTTCCTTTTATGAAAAAAAAATAAAAGAAATAGTAAAGCTAATAAAAACGTCTGCCTGCCCTTTTGGCGAATTGTCCCTGATAGATGCAGCTTATCACGACATAATTGATATGCGAACAATCTATGACTTATCTCGAGTTTTTTTTGAAACGTTGCTTTAATATGTTATATATGTATTGGTGTTCCACAATCGACTAAAAATAACATGATATCAATGTTATAATTTCGCACTTAACAAACCGTTATGTAACACCATGTGTTATTTATTTATATTGTTGAGCGTACGCGAAATTATAACATTAA